TGATTTGTACACTACATATGCACTTGTGATGGGCTACTCGCCAGGTTTTTCGGCAATAATGTGACATGCAACAGAAACTTACTGGCGTTTAGTTCCAACTCTTCATGTTTACTTACCAGAGAAATAACTTAACGGATCAAAAAGTTTGCAAATGAATTCTCCCATGAGAAGCTTATATGTTTGTTTAACACGGGGCGAAACAGCCAAATTAATTTTTAGAACCGCGGGTGAAGAAAGAATCGGCCTGGACTCTTTCCCATTTGGCGGAACGAATCAGTCTCGGCGACAAGTTGAATCCCTCCCATTCATCAAACTTGGCAAGGAAGTGAGGAAACCCAAGTCGGTTCCGTGGACAGAAAAAGCACACTCTGTCACTGTTGATTAATAATCCGTCGGTTGAGTGCTGTAGCTTTATTGAAGTAGACAGGTGGACAGCAATTTGTGTGCCTCAGACGCTAAGTTTTGGAATTCTTGAAGAGCGGGAAAATCAGTTCTGCATCTTTTGGAAGACAACTCTAAATGCGTTTTGCTTCACTTTCTGGCAGCACTGGTGCTTCCGAAAGTAGACGGAATAAGCGGGTAGTGTATGGAAGTGAACAAAACAATATAAACAGATTCTTTGTCAGAAAAACTGTAACCTTCGTGAGAACAGATAAATTGTTTCGTTATATCCTATTCAGCTAAACCAGCATTTTTTGGTCATCCGAATCAACTTACTACATGCAAACATTAGCGTATAGTTATTTGTCCATACATTTCCATTTCTATTCTGCCACATTGTGTTATATAAATGTATTACATAAGGACGAAAACCTAAGTGATGAGAACGAAGAAGGTAGCGGACAAAGATTGTTTTCTGTGATTGTTCCTCTTGGCTAATACATCATAAATTTATATGGTACCAGAAATCACGTGAAAAAGTTTGAAATCGGGGGTGCATATAGTTTAGAGAAATAGAAATCGAAGGAAGGGGGAGGGATAGGTCAGTGGGTCACGTAATCATGTAAGTGACATCAATTTTAGACAGACTTGTGGGACCGGATGTTTCGTAGGATAGTTCAAGTACAGAGATCGCACAAGTTTCCCTGCAAACTTCACTTTCTGGCAGCACTGGTGCTTCCGAAAGTAGACGGAATAAGCGGGTAGTGTATGGAAGTGAACAAAACAATATAAACAGATTCTTTGTCAGAAAAACTGTAACCTTCGTGAGAACAGATAAATTGTTTCGTTATATCCTATTCAGCTAAACCAGCATTTTTTGGTCATCCGAATCAACTTACTACATGCAAACATTAGCGTATAGTTATTTGTCCATACATTTCCATTTCTATTCTGCCACATTGTGTTATATAAATGTATTACATAAGGACGAAAACCTAAGTGATGAGAACGAAGAAGGTAGCGGACAAAGATTGTTTTCTGTGATTGTTCCTCTTGGCTAATACATCATAAATTTATATGGTACCAGAAATCACGTGAAAAAGTTTGAAATCGGGGGTGCATATAGTTTAGAGAAATAGAAATCGAAGGAAGGGGGAGGGATAGGTCAGTGGGTCACGTAATCATGTAAGTGACATCAATTTTAGACAGACTTGTGGGACCGGATGTTTCGTAGGATAGTTCAAGTACAGAGATCGCACAAGTTTCCCTTGGATGCAAAGTTGTGGATTCAGCAGTCGGATTCCAATCGCCTCAGCGATCGATACTAGTCTGCATCGTACCAGTCGTAATCGGTGATGCCCACAAATTTGGGGCCGGATGCCCACCGAGGAGCCAGAGTCAACGAATCAAACCTTTACATATACACTCGCATTGGCTTATTCTATATCCTTGCACATGCACGCACTTATCCCGCAACAGTCCACAGAGGAAGTGTATTGAACATTAAAGTTAAAAGGAGGAGAGTGGTTTACAGGTTCGCATTAGATTTGCAAAACTACAGCGAATTGTAAGATCATTCCTGTTTATACTGTTATTGTCATAACTTCATCAACCTTGTCGTCCTCATCGAATTTGTTCATCATCCTCAAGGGGAGATGTTGAACCAGACCAACCTTTATGGTTTTTTCTCCAATCACTGACGGTTGTTGATTGAAAACTTCAAAAATATTAGAAGCAGACTAAGAATGCTTCGTATGAACAGGCCTAAAATGTCAACTATGGGAGCCATCCGGCGAAAATCAGAAGGACGGTACCGAAATATTTGATCTGAAGTAGGTGTGCAACCAAACTGATAAAATGATGCAAATTCCATGTTATTATATGCTCAATTTTTAACCTGGCGACGTAATTTACAACCTTCAACTTTCACCGGAACTGCAGGAGATACCGGCACGGAAAATTTTCAATTTTTAGCTACGAACGACCTTTGAAAATTTGGGAAAGTCTAAGCAAGCAGGCTGTACTCGAAACAGGTTATATGTTACTCTTTTTACATGAAAAAGTCATCGATCTGTTCTGCGTACATCGCGGGATGAAATGTACGTAAAATCTCCTAATTATTGATTTTAGGAAGTGATCACCTCGCTTTAAGTGATTCACCTGCACACCAGACGTATAATTACGGGAGTAGGTGTTAGTTCTTCTGCTCTTCGCTTCATAAAACGGTCTCATTCAGTGGTCTTACCACACAGCCTACACACCATTCATTCGGAGAACCGGACCTAGAGACTCCTGTTACTACATTCTGCGGGGGTCGATTCAAATGTCTGTACGCGGTTGTTGTACGGATGTGTTAGGTGTAGAGCTCTTTCTTGCTTGGCTCACTTGGTCGTATAAACTTACTCCATGCTTCTCGGCGTCTACTTTGTTATCGCAGGCACTGGTGGTGCACTAATAAGATGTGGCATTCTATTCTGTCGGATGCTGTTGTCCCAATTCACCGCAACCAACGGCATTCGCCCTCCATTCAAGTAATCGGGTTAACCTATTAATCGTCAGTTCGTAGCTTCACTTTAGGTATACAAAAAATTTTATACTCAAACATCGGCATGTTGGAAGCAGATGAAGACGTGTATATATAACGACGAGTGGTAAGTTGCCCGCCAAGTGGATTTGCGTGAGTGAGCAAGGGAGAAAACATAGCAGCTGAAAACGTGTGAGGTGTGGATATTCAATTGAAAATCCAGTATCGGTAGGTTCAGTTAGACAACCAGACTTCCTAGATGCTCCGCGAAACCGAGATCAGTTCATCCTGTTAATCAAGTGACTAGTGAATGTGCCTTTCATGTTCAACAACGCAGATGGCTATACCTAGCAATACAACGCATTGGATCGATGTCATGCTACAGCATGACCCTATACCGGAGAACTGTATTAGGGCAAATAGGCGGGGATATAACAAAATAGTTCAAGACCCGCTCTTTTCCCTCACACGTGGTAGTTGTCCTTCTCTGTGGTACCTAGGCTTCAAAGTGGGGCAAGGCTCAAAACAATGCGCACCCAAGATTAACAGACAAAAATTTGCCTTTTGTATAAAAAAAATGATGTTTGGCCTGTATTGCTCTTGAGCTGCTGAGATATTATTTGAAGTTTATTATCCAAGCAGCTGATTGCAAAGAAGCCTCGGTACAAGCATTCGGAAAAATCATTTTCCAGTCTTCAGTTGGAAGCGGACTATTTAATTTTAAACTAGAATGAAAGTTTTGGTGCTTTGTTTTACTGCATCCACTATCATTTGTGGACGGAAATTACGTCATGATGTATCATCATTCATGACAGTCTTCCCTGCAGTAACTATGACACAATGATGATGGTGTTGGTTGTTTCACGTAATAAATCCAAAACACAGTCGGAGTGACGAGTTGCCAAAGGGGCGATTGACTACCGATGTAGTTTCAGTGTTAGAGTAGAGGTGTTCTCAGAGTGGTTTAAAACAACGTCCTACAGTATAACGTCCCGGTCCCGTGACATTGTTGTCTCGCCTTACTTCGATGCATGATCATTGTCCTCAAGGTTGATTCTTGCTAGAAATAGGAAAACAAAGTATTCACATGGAATTCTGTCCCTCAGATGACCCTCTCTTTAATTTCACGGTATTCCTCCCTCCAAAGCACGATCATTTAGATTTCCTAATCGCACAGTACGAGCGATCTTTCGTAACTCCAATATAGGGTGCGTAACCTTTGAAGATGGGTGACTTGGAATTTTCAAACATAACTCGGTGTGATTGTCTGTGGGAAGCATAGGAACAATTTGTTGTGCTTGATGTTTCCTAGGCGCCATATTACGCAGACTCAGCAGATTAACATTGTGCTGAAAATCGATTTCTGCCCAGTTTTACTTCCATATAAAAACTTTTTGTTAAGATTCAGGCTAACCTGGCAACAGTCATCTAACTGAGTTTGGATGGCTCAATTGAGCACAGTGTTGGGCGTCAGCATTCAGTAACGGCCAAAGGTCTGTCGAAAATGTCATGCCGGTCAAAATTGTTATGCTGATTCATTTCTCTCATTGGAGAGTTTGCTTCCTACAGCTTGGTGGTGCAAGCGGATTCCCTCCCTTTTTGTCACACTCTTATTGGCTATCAAATGAGTTTATGTTGGTCTTACACAGCTGATTCAGGACCTCCTGGTGTGACGGGTAGCAGGATGAACCTAGAAGATATGCTCCAGTATTGAGAGCACTTAAGACCTAAATCCGGTGTGTACACAGTTCACAGACTCGTCAGTGACCATACTTTATAGGCTTTCTGTACTATTTTTCCTATCTCTGGCTTCGAAAGTTCTCCATTTAGTTTCAGACTTTTTGTTGTTACGCTACCAGCATATCACACCAGCAATGCTCTTCACAGTACGGAGCTGCTGTACTAATCATCCTGAACTGTCAATATGCATCACTAAAGGTTGTGCGGTCCACGTTTTCGTAAGCTGTTTTCGGGCTTATCGACGCTAACACAAAGCTACGTTTTATCTTCTATTTTAGCTCAAGCCTGCAACAACAGTAGAAGCGAATAAACTTTAATTCCTGGAGAGTGGAAACATATATGAACGAGGATAAGAATGTGGTTGATCCACTCCTCGCATATTCTCCTCAAATTGTGCCTCTTATGCGTTCAGCTCAAAACACTCACTGGAAACAAAGTCTTCCCAACTGTGGTTTACAATTTAGCCGACGAAACTCCTGCTGATGCTCTCGTTGGAAATGTGGCCGACAGCCTTAAACCAAGTCTCCCTGATAAGATTGCCTTTGTCTTAATGACATCGCAAAAGTTTCAGTATTTCAACGATTTTTTTCATCTCAGTATTAACGGGGATTTGATCACGGTTAAACACATTGATCGAGATAACAGGAGTGAAATTTGTGGACCCTTGGCTTGCTGTCAACTCATTGTGTGTCAAATCGAGGCAACCATATTGGCAACAATCAGTAACGATAAAGAAGAGAGTGGAAAAACCAGAAACATTCACATTCTGGAAACAAAATCTCGAAAACAAGTGACTATCCAGATTCTTATTCGGATAAATGATGCTAATGACAATGCTCCACAATTCCTACCCGTCACATCCTCACCGATGGATTCGAATGACTCACCAGAACCCTCGCCTTTTCATATGTACATTCGTGAAGAAGATGTATCCGGCCACGAAACACTACCCGTTGCTATCGATAGAGACTCGAGACTAAACGGGGTCGTAGAATATCGTCTTATCCAGTCTCCCTCGCTTAATGATCTTCAGGTAAAACCAAGTTTAGATGTGAGAGTTTCCAACACTGTGTCCCAACAAGCAGCCGCTCAACTTCCGCTCGAAATCGATGACATCCACATCTCGACTCCCCGACTTGTTCACATACGACCATTGGATTATGAAAATTTGGCCGATCGAGAAATACATGCGGTTCTATTGGCCATCGACGGCGGTAATCCACAACTAACTGGATCATTGTCCATTGTTGTTCATTTATTAGATATTAATGACAATGCCCCTGTGTTTACTTACAACGAACGGGAGAACTACATCACTATTCCAGAGAACTCCACGCTAAGCAACAAGCCTTTATATGTGGCGAAAGCAACTGACGCAGATTCAGGTGACAATGGACGAATTACCTATGCTTTCAGCCCACTGACCAGCATAGAGGCAACTAGAAAGTTTGCCATTGATTCTGTGACCGGTGCCATACGCGTACGGATGGCGTTAGATTACGAAATTTATTCCGAAAGACATTTTGTACTGCCAGTCCTTGCCAAAGATGCTGGAAGTCCCCAACGTTCTTCATCGATGACCGTATTTGTTACAGTGCGTGACGTGAACGACAATATTCCTAGCCTCATCGTGCAAGAAAATGTCACGATTCCAGAAAATGAGGTTGTTACAAAACCGGTTTTGAAGTTCTACATCAAGGATGAGGATGAATCTTCACACGGAAAAGTAAGTCTTTAGCTGACTCAGTTACGAACCTTTGTGTCCCATGTAAAGTACGCATAACTAGAAAGTTGGATTAAACAGTCCCAGTTCTAAAAGAAAATACGCCTTCCTACCAATGTCCCCCGCTTTGAGGACGTACTTTTTACCGCCCTTGTTATCAAGGAGGTTTGTGCTCCATCATACCCATACATATTCAAATGTCAAGCTTGATTCGGACCGTCACTGTGATGTCTACAGTGAGCCAAATCCTGATATCATCTGGGTACTGTAAGTTCACTGCTGTTGATTGGGAACGGCGGCTAGTAGCCGGTGAAGTTGAATGTACCTACGAAATGAATGAGTGCACATCAAATCTTGTCTCTTCGTTCGTACTGCGTGTGATTCCGATTACGCAATGAGTCATATAGCATTATTTTTCTGGAAGATTTAAAGTTGAGCGTATTTTCGGATAATGTATCTCATGCATGGTTTAAGTGTTTGGATATACCAATATTTTTGAGCTTCTGGCCTGATGGTGTTGATGACCACGATCAAATGACTAATGGGAAAACTGATTTACATTAATAACTTTTTTTCTGTCAAGCCTGATTTGGTTTTCGAAATGGTCTCATGAAATGTCGCTCTGAATTGTTCCTTTGATCGAATTATGTATGATGGCCACAGCATTGGTTGATACAACATTCCTGTATAACTTTTTGTTGAGGATTTAGTCGCACTCCATTTAGGACCACGAGAGAAATTCCAGTTTTTGGCTGTGGGAACCTACTTATAAGTGTAATTTGTTTTAAGCAGTCAAATCGCCTTATCATGAGTAAGAATGCATGGTTCTCACACAGGACCCGTGCTATCAAGTATCCATCTTTTGGGTTTCAACTTCAAAACTGCCATTATGTTAAGTTGAGCTAATTTGCAACGACGGGGTACGGGGTACAAACAGGATCGAATGTGCGTGAGAACTGTAACTATTCTGTAATACTTTAAACTAATCCCTCTGTTTTTGTCTTGGTTCGTATTGCCTCACGTTCACTCTTGCAAAACTAGAACGTCGATACTGACTATCGTCATATCCTTTATTTATCAAACAAATCTTATGCGTGTGTGCACATAAACTGCAGCGGTGTTTTAAGGACCCGAGAACCGAACAAAGCGCCTTGCTAAGTTGTCCACAGCCAGTCTAAACATGCCGTAATATTCAAATTTTCCAGCTGTCATCATTCTGTTGTGATTGTGCATGCCTTTATGTCATCCGATACTGACTTGTCTGTCATCATTGCTACAAATATTCTCTAAAAAGAATCCCACCAAATCGTATCAGGTAGGCGGTTGGTTTGCATAGGATGATCGACAGTTATGGGTCCAGTACACATCGCTAGGATATTTGACGAAAATCTAAAATATTACAGAATTATTTTATCGAGTAGGAAGGTTATCCAAACACATGAAACTGGATGTGAGCGCTGACTTCAGTCGCCACAAAGCATACCGTCACCAATTTAAGCCATCGATTCATATAATAAAAGCGATGGTGACTACCTAATCAGGCATCGAACCGTACCGATACAAATTGGTGTCCTAATGCGCTCCAGCTGTTTTTCCGTTGTTAAGTTAACGATGAATCACGTTTCGACCTGATTCGGATATCTGATTCCCTCATCCAAAATTACAGCTTATTCGGCAGATTGCATGGACAGCGTGGAATCAAAAAACAAAATTAACATCAAATTCCGTCAACTTTGTCCCCGGATGATCTGCAGTTAACCGCAATCCACGAGAGTGTCTTGGATATTATCTCGTTCAGTCTAAATTTCGCAATCTACATATAAAGCAGCCGATATGCCATCTGAATAGATTTTACTGGCCGCAACTCCGGGCCGTAGGGAATTATTTGAATGATGCAAACACTCATCACCCAAACGTTCGATGATAATGCGGTTGGAAACTTAGGCTTGCTTGACCGCTTTACGATAAAAATGATTGCTTCCCTCCGACTTCCTATGGTGAGTGAGCTGAACATGAGCTGAACTGAAAGAAAAGCCTTGCTTGAAACACTCCAGATCGGTATCCAACAAGAATACCTGCTCGGAAAAAACGTCTTCTGCACCACCTGAACATCTGGGGTTCAAACTTATCTGTCGAGTGGATTGGTCAGCTGCAAAATTGTGGGACAGGATTCAGACAAACTGAGAATGGAACACCAAAATAACTTTGCTATTTGGTTATTGGTTCTGATATGTATAGAGCACTACCAAAGTCCCACGGAATTTGAGATCCTCAATAAGGCTGGCACGAGTGGCTGGTCAAGTAAATTATTAATTGTCGGGCAAAAGCGATTCAACACATGATGAGCGGTTTTGTGGTATTAACGCATGCGTCGTCTGACTCTAATCGAAGTATTAGGTTACAATAAGCGTGAGCCGCATGGTGTAACCATCTAGGGATGACTGGACCACGTGCCGCCATAAACCAGAAACGGATACGTAAAATGGGACTTAAACGGTCACAGCTGATTGGCTGCGCATTTGTAATCAACATTTTTTACAATTTACCGTTCAAATTTTGCTATTGTAGGTTACTTCATTAGCCCAGTAACATTCTGAGCTGTCGTTATAATTATGAGTCATTCCCTGGTGGGCTGAACTTATACGCGTTTGAGCGTCTTTACAACATACCCCAAACATGAATTACATACCCCAACGATCGACTGGGTGTCATGTTTCTTGGGCATGTTTTTGCTACAGCGAACTTGACGTATTCATTTGACTAGACTGTATATAGAACGGAACAGTCAGACACATTGAAACATCTCTCGAGACAGTTCATCAGCACTGCTAAATTCAACTAACCACACCAATAAGTAAGTTGCCCGTTCTCTACGGGTAGTACAATATTCTTATTGACCACACAATGATGTAAAATTGTGTAAACCGTAAATGACAGCTGTACGCAGGTGAACCAGCTCATCATAAACCTTGCTCTACTTCTGTTCTTCTTCTCAGGTTTCTTGCCAAACGGCCAATGTCACTGGAGAGCTTGCGTCAGATCCTGAATTACAGGTCGGCTCACAACTCCTGCGAATTCATTCCGTTTCTGAAACTGTCTTCTTTGTTTTTACAAAAGGTGTGCTAGATTACGAGAAGACTCCCCGTGTAAGCGTTATGATCGAGTGTGTTGATTTGGCAGATATTGTTGAAAACAAGCAAAAGCCAGTACTGCAACCGCAAAAACATCAAATTCGTATTACGGCCGCTGTTGAAGATCGCAATGACAATGCTCCGTCTTTTCTGAAAGAAAAGTATTCGGTGAATTTGCATGAACATTCACCTCAAGGAACCTTGGTAGTCGAGGTGAAAGCTGTAGACGCAGATAGTGGTGAATACGGTGAGTTAATCTACGAGTTGGGAGCTGTAACCCCATCATCAGGTTATCTCATCCGCTCAGATAACTTCATACAAGCGTTCGCCATTGACCCAAACACTGGAAGAGTGGAAGTCCTGCAACCAAGCCTGATTGATCGTGAACTATCTGAGGTAATGAACTTGAAGGTGTTTGCAAAGGATAAGGGTGGTCTTTCTACATCAACTGAAATTGTGGTTAAACTGTCAGATATCAATGACTGTGCGCCAACATTTTCTGGTCCGGTGGAATTTTTTCTCGAGGAAAATCAGCGTGTGGACACGGTCGTTGCCCACATTCTCTGCACGGACAAGGATATTGGAGCCAATGGGCGCGTTCATTTATCAGTGGCCAATGCTGGGACCGATGTTCATAAGTACATCCGTCTTTCACCCGATCCCAATTTCCGCTACCATGATCGATCTTTTAATTACACACATAAGAGTGGTCTAATGCAGGACGAATTGGTGGGGGACGGTGAGATCCGTGCACTATTAGTCAGCCAAATGCCTGTGGACAGAGAAGCCTATGCGGCATTGTTTTTTGAGATTTTCGCCTACGATGAGGGTACGCCGGCAAATAGCGTCACCACCACGATCACAATTCACATCCTGGATGAAAACGATAATGCACCAGTTCAAACGTTCCCACTGTACGACACGACCGTTGGATTCCACCCACCCATTTATGCCAACTCGCCTCCGGGAACCTTGGTGACTCGAGTCCGTGCAACTGACAGTGACCAAGGTGAAAACGGCACCGTTGTGTTCCACATTAAACCAGGCACAAATGGAAGTGAGTTGTTTTACATGAATGCTACTTCCGGTGAGCTATCAACCAACTGGATTCCAAGTAAAAGCCTAAAGAATTCGGAGACCGTTAGGCTGCTGAAAATCCAACCAGCTGAGCACTCACGTCTACAGCAACAGACCGTTGGTGGTCACATCTTGGTACATCAGCCGAGGCCAGGAACGTATCTTCTGATAACTATTGTATCCGACATGGGCGTTCACAGTCGCAGAAGTGAGAATCGTTTCTATGTAAATATTAACCCGGAAGATCCGAGCCTTGTTGATTATTCAAAAGCGAACAATGAATGGAGTTCACAGATGACTGCTAGCTTTCAGAATAATACAATAAGCGTCAATAAGTTGCTAATCACTTTACTGATTTTTCTCAGTTCGTTCACAGCACTGAGCATTGCTGTGGCGGTACTGTGGACAAAAATGAATAAGAGGAGGAATAGCGAACGATTGAGGAAAAAATCTCATATTGAGGCAGAATGCAAGCCAAATTTTTCATTAAATTCAAGTTCAAGACTGAGAGATCCCGTTCTGTTGGGGCTTCAGGAAGAAACCCAAAATGAATTTAGTAAGTCTGATATGTACGAAATTCAACAAGAAGAGGACTTCGCCAACCAGCAATCAAAGATCACACCACCAGTTTATCCTATTTTTACTGGGTCGCTACACGCAAAAACATCTGGTATGTTTGATGGATTTTTCGAGTCCAATTCTCTCACAAACTGTAGTTCACCAAATCTGAGGTGTATTACCGGGTCAGACGGATCAGGTCAACAGGACTTTTGCGGCTTTCAGCGATCCAAGCCTTCATGTGGGTTCCTGCAGCACCGTGGTGCTTACCTCAGTGCAACGAGTGAACAGAATTTTTCACTCAGTGGTAATCCACTGACCCCATATTCCCCTGGTGGAGTTGGCGCCTATGAATACGGTTCGTCAAACATCTCCCCGTTAATACAGAATCTCAACGTATTACGATCTGAACCGGTATCACATGTTGCCAATGCAAGTTTCGATGGGGCCTACAGTTTCGGACAATACGTTCAGGCAGACTGCCGTGAATCTTTGCCAATATTTCCTGGACCAACTTATCCAACTGTTACCTATTCAGAAAATAGTATTTTTGGAAGTCACTGGTCTGGAAGATGAAAACTTGAACAGTGAGTTGTGGTTTTCTGGTTTATGGTGGTAAAACAAATTTCGTTAAATTGTTGTTATGGTGTTTGGTTTGAATGGATTTCACAGACGTTAAAGGGCGATAACGTTCCGATTTTAATCCAAAGGTACATAGGAGAAAACAGGATATTTGGTCGGTTTCAGACACGCTCACTAAATAACATGGCGTAAAATTGTTTCAGTTAACCAGGTAAGCCCAAAACTTTCTACCGCGTGCTTTCCGGGTTCCAGCACGAGTGAACTAACTATTGTGCAAGAATGTTCTTGAAGCGGACATCAGCACAGGGTAAAACAAACATACGACTCCGCAAACTATCATCGTTTGTGTCTGTGTCTTGCTTAAATAAAATTCACCAGGCAGGTTAAACAAATTAGCTGTTAGAAAGTATTTGGGGTACGTGGGACGCATTGCACCTCATGCGATCGACTGGAGACCTTGCAAGATTTTCCCACTATAATCTACGACTCCCTTGCTTTTTTAAACAAATGTGCGCCTGAACATCATGGGAAAATAGATTTGTATGAATTACTGAATTGATCAGATAACTTTCCAATCCCCGAGATTTCTATTTCGAACTAAAACTTCTGTATATAGACATCCAATAAATTGGTATACTGGGGGGCACTCTAGGACTGAATGAGTAGTTTTACGAAACACATCTAACAAGCTACCGAGGTCGGTAGCTTTGTGCACTAGCATGTAAATTTTACTAATTATCTGAAATCATTTTTGTAGGTTGCCATTGCAAGTCATTCTAATATCGGTTGCTTGGTTTTCTGAGGCCGTAGCCAAGCTTGTAGTAGGTTCCCAAGTACACGGGGTAGTTATATCCCCATCTAATCCATCGGTGTCGCTAGTACTGAGCAACAAGCCACACTCAGAAGCAAGAGCTATTAACTAAAAATTGTGTATCTATTGATTTATGGTAATAAGTGAGTTTGAGGTTGTTATTTTAATCTGTGGATTCTGCTACCGCTAAAAGGCATTGATAAAATATGAAGCTAGTTCGCCCCTATTCGCATTATCAGCTGTTTTTTTTATAAATCTGACGAGAGGACTGAAATTGTGTAACTTTTTGGATAAGTTTTTTAACTCGGAGTATCCATAGTCTGAATCTTACTTCAGATGGGAGGGATCTTTACTACTTATGATCCACAATATAAGCGACCACAGGTACAAAATCAGTGACATTCCTCGACCAGTGAGGAGAATTCCGATGGAACGTTTTGCCATGTGCTGAGCTCTACAAAGAAGTTCCAAGCTTCAGTAACGGTGGGTCTCCCGAAAACGATGAGGATTTTCACCAAATTCCCTGTATACCTGATTCTATAGGTGATACCTTCCTTCTCACACCCAACACATTTGGCGATGCTCAGGACCACAATATTATCTAATCAGTGGGCTTAAATTAGTTTCTTAAAACAAGTCCATTAGTTTCGTCACTTTATTGTTCTGAGCTATACGAAACAAGCGTATCTAAATGATTCAACGGCATTAACTTCTCATCTCGATGCCATTCCCTACAGTCCCTCCAAAAATTCAGATCTTTCTTGGGAGTTGCACAACCCCTGGAGAAAATGGCCCCTTCCCAAAACAAGATCCAGTAAATTTTGCTTATTACTCCAAAGGGATGGCAATGGTACCTTCTGTCGTCTAGCCTTGTAGGGGATAGCCCTTAGACCCCTTATAATGAGGTCACAAATGGGCGTATTACATAATTTGGCACTTTCTTGATTCAACTGTTTCAGGTTTGTATGATTAAACGATGTGTACGTCCCAATGGTACCAGGCGCTCAGTCTGCTTGTACAATCTCGACTTCAGCACAAACGGACTGGTTAGCCTCTTTGATTCACAACCTGATATATCAGGTTGAAAGCAGAAGTTAGGGGAATCATGGACTCTGGCTTCCACTATAATATAAAAAAACCACACTGTACTTTTGTTAACTTTGTTCTTCCTTCAAGGTAACTTCAGTAACTACTGATGGAAGCGTTTCTCCGATGTCATCGGACAACTGGACATGCGAACCCAAAGTCACGCAACTTCATGGTTATCATTCGCCACTTGTCCAGAAGAGCTATTATTCTGCCGCAGAGTGAGCCCCGTTTTCAAAGGATCCAATACAATGTTCACCGTATTTGTCACCCAGAATGTACGGATCCGCGATGACAAAACATTCTTCTGTTGCGTCCTGAAGTCGGATCCTTTTCTTGACTATTCACTGTTTCAGAGACTGCTCTCAACTCTTCCAAAGACAAGTATTTGTTTATAATTCATCTTTTGCGTACAATAAATATGTTTGTTTATTTGCTCGCGTCTCATTTCTGAAAGTAAAAGCAAAAGGCTTTCCAAAGTTCCCATCGAAAGTTTTGCTTCTTCTCGTTTGACGAGTCGTGTAATGGTGAAATTCATTAACCCCGAATAAGACAGTGGAGTCGGATGTCAGCATGTTTGTTGAATCCATGCCCGAATGATGCATCATGAAGAAGTGCAGTAAAGTTTTGCCTTCATGCACTACTCACTCAGCAATTCAAACTCAGTCAAATCAGACACTGGAAAAAAATGATTTGATAGTCAAATGCCTTTTCATATATTATAATTCTTTCAGTTTGGAAACATCTGTTATTGGATGAGTTTAACAGTAGAATTGTTGGAAACGACTGAAGACTTTAAATATTTTGGCCTCTCAATTAAAAAGAAAATGTTGTGGGCACCAAGTAGGCGCGAGTTTAAATAACTGTAGGGTGTAATAGTTTGTATCCGTCAATCAGCCGTCAAGTAAAAATCAACACACTAATTGATGAAACCAATCAACCTTTTTCTCACCTCTTACGCGGTAAAAATTCATTACAGCTCACCAATTACTCAAGTGATCTTATGAAAAACTTTAGAATGTGGGTGTTCCGCGTGTAAAGTACCAGATAATTAGCTCATTGCGCGCTGGCCTCCAGAATAATAGATGTGAAACAAGCAAGATCACAAAGATTCTTAACAGTGGTACCTGAATACTGTCAAATTGTGATCAGCAGAGAGAACATAGAGAGAGTTTTACATCTCAGCTTTAAAGGACGAGAATATATAGGTGTGGCACAAGAGACATATATACCAATGTAAATTTCAAACGGTCACCTTGCAAAATTGACTTCCTTTACTAGGTCTACTCAAGAATCATTGTCCTACAGAGCATATGAGAAACTGCCCATGTATTCATCCTTCAAGTTGCCTGATTTTATATCCTCAGATTAGCTATCTTCATCAACCCGGCATAACATTTTGCCATGATATGCGGAATGCCATGCTCCTTTTAAGGTGATGTTGCACATGGTAGCAATATACCGTAGACATAACCATATACCATAACTTTATTCGTCTTCCCAAAGACAGTAAATTCAGCGTACACCCACCAGGGGTGCAAGGACACTCCATTTGTCGTCGGCCCAAACGACAATATTCCTACTCAAATCTGGCATAAGAGTCGTAACCCACAAACTCCTTCCTTAAGTCTGTTGCAATCGAAATTATAAAATTACGAAATCGCAAAGCATGTTCGATATGCAATGTAAATTACAGTGGACCTCGATCACACGCACGCAATTTTGGATCACTCTAAGGGTAGTGAGGATATTAGGTGGTTGACTAGGTAGCGTGATGCAGCAGGTCAATAATACAAAAACTGAAGGACTCTGCTAGTTCCACTTTTGTTCGAAAGCATTTGAGCTTCAACAGATGGCTGGCAGCTATTTGTATGATTATTTGTCAATGCTCGTTGATCTGGGAAAGCTTGAATCAAGCTCTTAGCCTTTTTATCACTTTGAAGTAACTTTGCTCCTACTTTTGGCAAGTTAACTTTAATCTAGTACCTATTCTGATGAACACAGAGGGCATCCTTACGGTAAAATGTTGAACACATATTTCAGGGTGTATTAAACATAGCAACCTGGATCAGTCCCAGCAACAAACGAACAATGACTGAACTTCATGGCACTTTTATCCAAAGCTGATCGACTGAAAGTCGTCAGTCCAGACCGAAAGAAGCCAGTCTTGCTCGTTTAAATCTTAGTATATTTGTTTACAATTTCACAAACTGCAGCCGAACATTCTCAGATTTCGAGAGTTAGGATAGCAAATTTCATCTCATTTCTCACCCTTAGATACTTCAACGTCCAAGTGTTATTTGGCTCTCAAGTGTGTCTGTTGTGGTGAATAATCGCTACAAACCTAAACTCTACATCAGAAACAAGATGTGCTACAAACCACGACACACATGTTCTTTTCCAAAATCAAAATAACATCCCTATTTGCTCTAGACAAACATGAACGTTTTCCAGACTGATTGATCCCTCCTTTGGCAACAGTCATCTTGATAGACGTTCCACTATAAATACCCGATTTCAGGTTGATAGGTGATAATTACCAGATTGTCGAGTGCCATTTTCCATACGGAAAAAATATTATCGACGTGAAGAAAACAAGTCTTTGTATGTAGTCTACTACTTTTTTAACTTTAGTTGTAACCTCCACATCGAGTGATTTACAAATGGAATCCGCCTTAATCCGCCGCGTGTCCTTCCATCTTGGACTAGAAGTGACAATTTACTCACCACAACGTCATCTCCGTTACGTGCACGCCATCAGCGTGGGTCACGAAAGAACCATGTAAGCTGCGGCAGCTCACCCGAGTGAAGCTAATTACCTATTCTTCCAATTATCTTTTTCTTTGTGATGCATACAACGAAACTAACAGACTAGCTGTGGAATTGTTACAGTGTGCTTACAACTTAGTTTTCCAGTGTAACAACCAGCATGCTTGCTGACATTCCTCTAGATTGGAAAAAGCTCCTTGATCTTAAATGGCGGTCATGGTAAGTATGCCTATAAAAATAATATTTAACTCAATAAACAAAATCTAGAAAATCTTCCCGGAGCATTCACGGTATACACCATTTCTTCACAATCCAAGAATCATTACAC